GTCAGGTTATGAGCCTTATCGTTTTGATAATCAATGTCAAATAATATCACAGCAGCATGTTAATCTTGTTGATCATTTTTCTCCGCCTGCTTTTCCATATTAAATTCTATTTCATTTATGCATTACAAGACTTTCGTAGTAAAAAGACTAATAAAACAGTGTAAATACTTCCAGCAGATGAAATATTTGTCCCGTTCTACGTATAGTATGAAGGTTTGGATCCTTCTCGCCCCGTCTTATGGATATACGTCGAGTCAAAGTTTCGTCTCATTCTGCAGAATCGCGTGAGATTTCTATACCATAGCGATTTGTGGTTAAAACAACTTTTTACCTATGTTAACTTTGGATATATCATGGGGATGTTGATTAAGAATATATGTTTCTAATAATAATACACCTTTATACCATATATTATGTGTTTTACTTAAATATTTGATAACGTCCGGTCTAATAGTTGTCATTGGTTGTGTATTATGACTATAAAATGTTGATAATGCTTCTAATATTGTATTTAATGAACTATGCGGATATGTATCACGTTGTTGAAGATGAGCACCACTAACAAGAAATGGTTGTATTACAGATGTAAATAATGCTGAACGTAATTTTTCTGGTAATAACTGAATGACTTTTGGTAATAAATCAATGAATAAATGATGACATAATTCATCACCAGCAGTAATTGTAGGATCAGCCGTTGATAATGCATGAATTAATTGAACAATAGAATTAAAAAATTCATATGAATTTGTTTTTGATTGAATATTTAATGTTTTTAAATAAGTTTTTTCATCATCTAATAATTTATTAAATTTTATTTCATATTCTTGTGTTCGACAACATGAAAAAACAATATCATCCGTATCATGATCATTCAAACGAAGTATATGCTGATAAGTGGCTTTCAAACGTTTTGCTTTTGGTTCATCTTCTATTAGAGAACTAAAATAAAAAAATTTTATTAAAAGATAAATACACGAGAATAAAAGCAAAAGGCCATAGATTTGTCTACTTGTCATGTACACAATATGTTCACATCATAGAATCATCTCTTACTTTGAAGAAACGACTGGTGTTACTAGAGTACTTGTAGCTCGATAGACACGTGTATTCGATAATCGTGAGAGTGTTGTATCATCATCCATATCATTTACTTCCATTTTAATTGGAACTGATGGTACAATACTATTTTGTTTATTTTGTTCTTGACTTTTTGTACATAATTCCATAAAATAGTATCGATCATAATAATCAGATGAATAAACAGTTGATAATAATGATGTTAATGCAGATGAACGATTATTTGTTGATAAAATAGATGTTGGTTGAACACATGAATAAAATAGCTAAAATATGAAAGAAAAACAAATAATAGATTTAATAAAAGATATCAACATATGTTAAATATTATAGTAGAATATAAAACAATAATGATTACTTCTAAACATTGTTTAATCCAATAATGTTGACCTAAATGTTCCCAATTTTGTGAAAGAAACATAAAAAATAATCGATCTTGAATAGATTTTTTCAAATTTTTATCTAATACATTAAAAAATTTTTGTCTTATATTATTATTTGTTGATTTTAATCCAATAAGAAATGCTGGCTCCATTTTTTGACATATTTCTGTATCTTTATAAACGGGTTCTTGATAAATATAAAGAATAAGTTCTAAAAATTGATTATATAAATTTGAATCATCTAAAAAACGTTTTTCCATACATTGCATTAATTTACATAAAATATTTAATTTTTCTTTTAATGTTGGACAAGATTGTTGTTGATCATTATTTGTACCACTACGATAACGTAACCAATCATCAACTAATTTTATTATTGAACGTATTAATAAAATATCGTGTGATTTTTCAGTAACACCGGGTAAAAATGTATTCATAAATTGTTTACGTAAATCTAAATAAAATTATATAAAAAAATATCAATTAATTAGATTATCTATTTTAATGTTATTTACCTTGTGTGAGTGTATGTATTCGATATTTTAATAATTCAAGACATTCAATAATATATTCGGTAAATGCTGGATTATACTCGGTACCAGCACTAACATGATCTTTAATTAATTTTTGAAGAAGTTTTGTTATAATTGGAGTAATTTTATCAACATATTTTGGATTTTGTTTTGAAATAGTTTTTAAATAGGTAAATGATATGGATAAATTTTGAACTGATGGTGTTGAAACAGCTGTTGTGATGGTATTTCGTGAACTAAAAACAAAAGAAAATAAAAGATTATCTATCAGCAATAATATTCAGAATGGAATTTAAGAACAAAAAAAAATAAAATAAAAACAAATGATAAATACATTAAATTTTAGCAATATTATTTAGATTTTATGAAAATGAATTCGACAGATACTATTTCACTTATATCAAGTTTTTATAATAAAATATAATATTAATTGAGTTTTATATACAATTTTGTAAAAAATTGTGAAAGATCTTTGTTTATGAGTGTTAAATATTTAAGAATTATTTGATCAACTATTTGTTAGAATAGTTAAAATTTGAATTAACTGATTTTATCATTCAATTAATTATCGTTGCTTAATTCCATTAATCAGTGTCTCATATTTGAAATTGAATTTATTTCTATTATTTCAATTAAAATTTAAATCAACGTTTTTATTATAGCGCAATATTTCATTTCTATACTAAAATTAATAATAAAAATATTTTTTTTTTGTAAAAAAAGAAAAAGAAATCAATTTTATTATCTCTACACTACGTTGTCATTATGTTCAAAATTAATTGGTCAACAAACTATTGATACTTATCAGTACCAATTTTCATTTGAAGAAGTTCTGATACAGTTCCGTATGTAGATCAAATTGAATTATCCATATGTAAATAGATGTTTACTGAGAATTTTACCAGTTTCAAAACTGAGTGCTTCAATATTTTCAACAAAGTAAATAGTAAAAGTCTCATATCCTACGCATGGATAACTTAACGTGCTCTACACACTGACTGTATCAGAGCCTCTTCAAATGGAAGTTTGTAGTAATGGATGTGTAGAAATCGAACTTCTCGAGATCCATACCCAAAAAGTTTTACAGGTAAACATGATCAGGCTCAAAAAATTTATATTTAATCAATTATGATTCAATAAGATAACGATTGGACACAATCGGAATAGTTTTCTCATTAGTCTAATATTTGTTTCAACAGATATTGTAGGTATTATTAGTCGAAAGTGTCTAACCACTTTTTTCGAATG